GCATTAGATTTAAAATATTTAAATGTAGAATCCGCATTCTACATTCGAATATTTTACAATACCGCTATCGTCTACATTTAAATTTTGTTTGTAAACAAGTATTATTTTGCCTTGCAAAAAGGTACTCCTAATACGAGTATAGTAGTCATGTGGTTTCGGTCGGCGTGTTTTTTTAAATTAATATATAGTCTGTTTTAAGTCTAATAATATGATATATTTATACAACTTATGGGGATGAGAATGGCAAACAATGACCCACTGACGGCCCACTTCACATTCCGACGATGGAAAGTGTGTTAATGGGGACCGTCGTTTAACGGTCAGACGCCTGAAGATAATTTGGGCATTCCAGAAACGAACTTCAAATGAAAAAAATTTGCGCCAAGATCGTTCCGTGAGTTACCATGGACTTCTTGTTCCCAAAAACCAAATTGGTACTTCGGGGGCTGTTTCGCCCATGACTTTCAAGGAGCCTTCTCCCCCGTTGGCACAAGTGCATTATGCCATTTCTGAGGACTCCTGAATAATTGTTATTTTTATGTACCGGACAAACCTCGTATAGTTCACGTCGGCGTGTTTTTTTAAATTAATATATAGTCTGTTTTAAGTCTAATAATATGATATATTTATAAACCGATTTTCAAACATGAGCTATGTAAAGTACCAACATAACAGAGTATGCTGTTTACGGTTGAAACACGAATGAGACAAATTACCCTTCAAACGATTTTCAAACATTTTGTACAAAACTGCTTTACGGTTGAAACACGAATGAGACAAGTTACTACATATTTTTGTACAAAAAATACAAAAATAAATATTTGTCAATCCGCTTGTCAAGCGTGGCAACTATTGGCAAAACCCTCTTTATGGCGGGAAGATTTGTTCAGCAGTGGGCAGTTCCGGTTGAAACAACAATAAGGATACAGTAAACTAAAGCCATGAGATGCACAAACAGCTATGTATTGTACTCCGATAATACGTCACGATACGGGCGTGAGGCGCGGTGACGTAGCCGGTCACCTTCGAGAGATGGTATCTAGCCAGGAGCCCGGTACCACCATGCAATCGTATCTGAGTTATTAATCTGTGTAGTAACGTAATACAAAATGGATTTACATAAATATATTGCGTGTAAAGTGTACTGTATTTATAATAATAACAATTTTACTACGAACGCTTTGAAGAAATCGTTCCAATAATACTCTCCAATTATCTTTCCCCTCACACCGTACTGGTTACGCTTCAAACTCTTGTCTCCTACATTCTTCACGACTCTGGAACGCGCTTCCAGATGCCATTAAGAGACTACCGACTAAACCGTCTTTCAAAAAAAGCGTTCACGCTCACTTTTTACCTTTATCCGAGCAGTAAGTGCTTTATATAATTCTCAAATTCGTGTATAATATAGTATATATCATATATGTGTAAGTATATTTGTTATTCATATATATTTATTCGTTTATATATGTAATTTTAGTATGTATGTATATCAATAATTACTAGTACCGCATTCGAGTATTCTGACACTTCCCTATGGTTGACTGGGAGAGAATGCTTTTAGCATTAAGTCCGCCATGTACACATATTTGTACTAATTAATAAATAAATAAATAATAAGAAAATTAATATAAAAAAAATTTTTCCCTATACTTTTGTTTCAATACAACTTAATGATAATGTTAACATACAAACAAACGATCCAACTATAGTCTACTGATAATTTTTTATGTAACTTAGAATGGCAAACAAGCTGACGGCCCACCTGATGGAAAGTGGTAACCGTCGCCTATAGACATGAACAGTACCATGGACATAACAAAGTATACTGTTTCGCCCGTGATATCTCTGAGTAAGCTGAAACCTAGTTTGGCAGATTTTAGGGGCGGCAAATTAAGAGCAAAAGAATGACAGATATATAATTTTTATAATTTTTAACTAGGGTAAATTTTAATAGAACACGATCGGCAATTGTGTAAATCTGCCACTGGGCAAGTGACTCTCTCTCTTCGTCTTCTTCATTACTGAAGGTCGTGTCCTTGAAAGGTGTCCGTTGCCTCTCTTATGATGTTATTCCATTTCGCACGGTCTTCAGCTTCTCGCAGGGCAGCTGCAATTGACAGTCCCGTAACGGTGATTATTTGGTCCGACCATCGATTAAGCGATCGTCCGCGTGGTCTTTTTCCCTCTATCTTGCCTACAACCATTAATTTGTCCAGATTGTCGGACTGTCGTCGAGCAACATGACCGAAGTATCCAAGAATCCTCCGATAGCAGACTGTCGAGAACCTATCTTTTATGCGGAGTTGCGTTAAAGTTGCGGGCAAGTGACAATACTATCTTATTTGTGGAATAAAGAAGAGTTATTGTAACTTTTTTCTTTTCAAAATGTATTTTGTGTTAATTATTTTTGTGTTAATTTTGTGTTACCTAAATGATAAAACTGCTCAAGAACCGGAGTTTAAATGGCAATAAACAAGTACTTATTTAATTAGTTACTCACCAGTTAAAAAACAAGTTTGCTTAGTGTAGTAGTCATTGATAAATAAATGTTGTATCTACATTTTTTTAATAAAGTTTTTTATTTTAAAATT